GCCGGGTACAGCTGCGCCAGGCACATGATGGCCTCGTTGCAGAACTTGAGCCCCATCACCTCTTCGTCCTCGCGGCCGTAGCGGAACGTGAGCGTGATCTGGCCGAACACCTGCGCACAATAAAACAGTTTGTCACATATGCGGTTTTCAGTTTGGTCCAAATTGAATTAGTAAGCAAAGAAGTCAAACAAATTAGCAAAGACTATCGGCGTCGTGCGCCTGTATCATTACCTTCCGCTCCTGTAGGTAGTCGGGGTCCACCACCACGACGCCGCGCACCCGCTCCGAGCACCTGTTGGCGATGATGATGTCCCGCGAGCCGAGGTAGATGGTCAGCTTGTTGTTGGACGAGGACTTTTTGAACACCCTGCAGCGACGTGAGGGGAACAAAAAACAACAAACGATCAAGCCCTTTCCTATCTCTTTATTCTCTCTCTCTCTTTCTCTCTCCCTCTCTCTCTCCCTCTCTCTCCCTCTCTCTCCCTCTCTCTCTCCCTCTCTCTCTCGGCAGTGCGCAACGCCGTCGTTCCCCCTTGACGGAAGACAGCGGCCGTATTCAAAGCACGGTGCGTCCATATAGGAGGAGCAGGGCAGGGGTTGGGGTGGAGTTGAGAGGGGAAGGCTCGTATCCGTGTTGAAATCTCTGGTCCTTTAGTGGTCCGACACGTGGCGCCCCCAGGGCGGGGAGGGATGGAATGGGACGAGGAAGGCAAGGCATAGGAGGGATCGGCCGGGATCTCCCGCGCCGCGCCTGTTCCGCCCCGCCACGCTGTTGCCGGCAACAGCCGATGCGGGCTCGGGCCCCCTACTGGGCCGAGCTCGACTCGTCCGAGCCCCGTGTGGCTCTGCCCTGCTGTCACGCGCACGCTCTATGTGTACGGTGGTACGCACGGATGTTATATATGCTGGGACAAAATAAAAGTTTTAAAGAATTTAAAAAAAGGGAATCCCTCCCCCCTTTTTTGGACTGAAGTTGACGTGACCTTGACCGCGAATATTTGAACGGCTCGCGTAAATCCCGCCGTATAACTGCCGACGTATTTTTTCCAATCCCCCCGTTATGGCGTGTTGGGTTGGTTGGAAGGCCATTTCCATTTCCTCTCGCACGCGCCGCAAGTTCGGCTCACTGAAACGTTTTCGTGTTGCATCGAAAAATATGTTGTCTTGATTTTATAACAGCTTTTGTGAACTGGATTTTTTTACGCAGTGCGTCGTTGAGAGCATTCTAATGCGCTCTTTACTCTAAAAAATGTTCGTAGTGCTCACTACAAAATTTTTCAGGACAAAACTAATTAGTTACAGGCTGATATCATAAATTTACAACTACAGATCGTAAAGGGGCTACAAATTAAAAGATTAAAAATACAAAAAAAAAAATGACTTTATAGTTCTCTTTGACCCAGCAAATCATACATCTACATTTGTAAATATTAGACCGTGTTCAAACATATACAGGTATGGCAAATTTTTTGAAATATTTTTCACAGTGATCGTTAGGGTTGGCTCGCTGCAAGCGGGTCCATGGATCGTGCCGGTCACAAGTGGGCCGATAGCGTCAGCAGCAGCATTCCCGCAGGGCCAAACTTTACCTCCACCAAAGCTACTCTCCTCACCTGCACCCCCCCCCCTTTTCCCCCTGTTTCCCCTCACCGCACATCACCTCATCTCACGTCACCTCGATGTGACCTGTGACGCACGGAGCTAGATGACGACTGTGACGCTGACACAAATGGAGCATGACTTTTGCGCGTGTTGCCCAGCGGCCCAACAAAGCGCGATATTTACAAAATCACTCATCCCCATCGCAAAACGGTTCACGTGTCACAATATTTTCGCATTTTCGCGATGACGTTTCCCGCGCGACAGTAAATCATGGTTTTTGTGAGGTCCCTCGTCACGTTAACAGTCTCTCGCCTCGTATTTTGATGCTGCGCCGCGCCCCTGCTCCGACGAGCTCCCCGCCCTGCACAAAGTGCACTAACGGCTGCCGCGCCCAGCCCATTGTCACTCGCTTGCAACTTCTTTAATTATAAGTTTCGCGTCGCCTCCTGGCCGTGGCACCGCGGGTAATGGACTCGGCGCGGTAAATTAGACAGCTACGGCCTACACTACGCCATAAGGTAATAATTGTCACGAATATTGTGTGATGTTTTAAATTTACAATCGGTATCGTAAGTTTATGGCAGACCGTTTTACTCGTCGAAGATTTAATTCGATACGTACTGTTAAATTAATCCTGTAATTTACCATTTTGAAATCATGACTTTTAAAACATTTCGCATGAAAGATGCTAAATCTACAAATATATTTTACAGTGAACTTAAATCTTTACAAGTCAGTGAAGTCATCATTTTCTCTGCCAAAAACATACATTTCACCAATATAGATGGAATGGAGCTGGGAAGAGCTTCGTACATTCCTCGAATTATTCTCAGAATCGCGATGTTTTATCTTGTTATCCTTCGAGCGTACCCTGCTCCCCGGAGGCGCGGCACGCGGGGCGCTACGGCGCGCGCAGCGGCCGTGATCCCCCGGGAAAAGGCTTACTTTTTTTCTATTCGACGCGGTTACACGTTTATTCTTTGTCCCCCTCCTTTTCCGCCCTCATGAATATCTATCGGGTCAACAAAACGGACTTGTTTGTGCGTCGAAAGGTCCTGCGCGCCTGTGCGCCTGCCTCTCCTCCTTGACGTGGAGCGGAGGGGGCTTGGAATGGGGAGGTGGAGGAATCCCTCTCGAAGGGCGACCTTCCTCCACTAATGGAAGGGACTGGGAAAAACAAGGTGAGCCGCTGGGGCCGCCTGCTTCGAACCTTAGTACTGTCAAAGGGGGGGTTACGACTAGGACTAGGAGAGCAGGTGGGTCTCCCCGTGGAAATCGCAAGAACACTGATGGGATGTAGCCGGGAGCAGGGTGCATGTAACTGTCGTGAAACACGGCCTTCTCCGTCACCCGTCTTCCCCCTTCCAACTCTCCAAGTCCTTGCTTCTGCTTTGGGTGTAGGTGCGTTTTCCAACCAGGAATAAGCAGTTTCTCCTCTACTCCAATTAAAAGCTTTTTGGTCAGTATTGAAATATCCAGTCAAACACTTAAAGTGTGCAACGAACGAAGTGTTGAGAACTTTTGCACGCCATTTGTACGTACACTTTTTAAACAATGATTGTGTCAAAAATTTACGGAACTTTAACCGTCCAATCACGATGAAAATTCCAAATGCTCATATGGACGTTAATTGTCGTTTCTTGTCTGGTAATTTCTTAATAAGGCAAATTAATGAAACTGGTGGGCGGGGGCTTAACGCTACGAGAAAAGTGCGAGGTCTCGGGGAGGATTAGCTTACCTCTGGGTGCTTATGGCCTCCGGGGTGGCGGGATGCTCAGGAGGAACTTCTTCTCGATCGCACCTGGAACAAAACGTGCCGGTTAGCGCGGAAAATTTACGCGAGAGCTATCTGCGGGGAGACAGAGAGAGAGAGCGAGAGAGATGGGGTTAAAGAGAGAGAGAGCAAGAGAGAGAGAGAGAGAGAGAGAGAGAGAGAGAGAGAGAGAGCAAGAGAAAAGAGCTGCGCAAAGCCGAGGGGCGAGAGGTGGCTCGGTGGGACTTAGGGTCACAAATGATGACGCACGGCGGGAAAAGTTTTTAAGTGGAGGAAGGCGCGTGCTGCGCCCTGCTGGCAGTTTGCGGCGGCGAGCTCAGACAACATTTACACCAGTCACGTCTGCAGCCGCGCCCCGCCCGGCCCCGCCCCGCTCAACAGGTACCCGGGAGTGCCCAGCTCGCCTAGCGCGGCAAGGCCGGGCGAGTGGGAAAACGCAACGGAAAAATTCTCCTCCTTCTCCTCTTTTCTACAAGTGAATAAATGAGTCGTAAGGAGGGTGGGGGGGCAGTTTGGTAATTGCGTTGTTGGTGCTGAGAAATGAAGCGGCGGGTCAGGGGGAATGGAAAAGGGGGGGGGGGGTTAAGTTCTGAGGTGAAAAAATTATGAAACGTTGGTTTCGTTCTTTCCCTTCGTTGCTTTCCTCCTTCTGTGTCTCTTATTCCTTGGGCAGCACTAATACCCTTTTCCTGCTGGAACCATCTTTTCGAAACAAAAGGATGCTTGGATGGAGATATGCTATTGCCCTCTAGGTTGACCCCCCCGCGCGACTCGCCTCGAGGGTTGGGGGGAGGATTGTGGACCCAGTCGGGGGAT